ACCTGGACAGGTCTCCAGTCCATCACAGGGACACCTGGACAGGTCTCATACTTCTCTGTCTTGTCGAAGCTCCAAAATTCACGGTTGAAACCCGTGCCTTTGTGTAAAAAGTTGTTTTTCTCTGCAAGAAGAACCTGAGAACTTAACTGATTTTTAAAAAATTTTTTATTAAAAGCTTTGTGTGACAAATGCTAAAAAGCTCAAACCACACTGAGCGTCCGCCATTTTGAGAACCGGAAAACAGGGAGAGACAGCCCACGTCACGTCAAGGAGCCTCCCTCCCATTTTTCTTAGAGAGACACTCTGCTCGCTCCCTCACCATCCATCCTTCGGTTCAAACAGTCTTATGCTGCCATCTGGTGGTCAAAACAGGTACTACAGTCAAAAGAAATTAACCAACATGTCTTCTTAAATTTGACAATAATTACTAATTATTGTCAAATTTCAAATAATATTATAGTTTATCGCAATAATTTCTGAGACAATTAATCGCCCAGTAAAATTTGTTATCGTGACGGGCTTAGTTTCAAGCCAACCTCCTGTTGGAATCTCAGAAGTAGACAGAACTGGTTGGCAGGCCGTGGACTGAGGAAGTCCTTCAGATGGAAGACGAAACGCTTCTCACTTAAAGAAACTGGTCCAGGTGACATGACTGAACCTTTTCTCTTGTTCTTAAAACAAGTACGTAAACACAGAGACCTCAGATCTGCTGTAAAATGTTCTTCAAACGTTTGTTCACTGGGAAATGTAGCAGACAGACCAGAAGTCTGACTTCATAGAGTGAATTTAGCCGCTTTAAACTAAACGCAGTGCTTGTTTCTCCTGCTAACTTATCAATAAAGGTTGCTACATACTTCACAAGAACCATTATTGTTCTCTCCCAGGGCTGCAAGAACCAAACAAGGTCACTTTTATTTCTTGTAGCTCTGGTTTTTGAGTTCTTGCAGCTTGAACTTTTGTCTTGCTGGTTTTAAAGAACTTGGGTTTGGTCAAATGGTTTTGGAGAAAATCAGTTTCAACTGAAATCTTTAAAGAATTAAAAGATAAAGGCGTAAAAAATATTGTCCTAAATATTATAATGCATGGCTCTAATTGATTGTGTACTTGTTGCAGGGAGATTATCATCACTAGATAATATAATAATGTGTTGAATGCTGAAAGAAGTACAGTTGTTATGTCTGTTTTCAGTCTGTTCTGGCGAAGACGTGTGTGAAGCTGCTGTGTGAAGATCCGGCCTTCAGTGAATACATCAAATGCATTTTAATGGATGAGAGGACGTTTCTCAACAACAACGTGGCCTACTCCTTCCTCACCTGCTTCCTGCACAAGGTACAACACAACAAGTGCCAGTTGAGCAATGACACTACCTGGAAGTGAAACATAAAACAAACTGGTTTTTAGGTCCAGGTTCTGTCTGGTCCCAGCTGCTCCAACCTGATTGGGGTTTTGGTAACCAACCTGCTGACTGAGCAGAGCAACCTTCAGCCTGAGCTGGCCGGTCACCGAGTGGAGCTCAACAAGACCAGCAGCCTGCTCAACGCGGTACGGAACAAACGTGCACGGACTGAAGGCGCTCCAGGCTCAGACCTGAGCTCTGTCCGAGTGTTGCTGGTTGTCATTCGTTGGTCTGTGTGTTGTGTTTCAGGACCTGCGGGCGTTGGTGTTGCTGCTGTCCGTCCAGCCCCCTCAGGTCATTGACCCCGCCCTCTGCCCAGCTCTGCAGGATCTGCTGGGCCGATGTTGCCTTTGTCTCCAGCAGCGCAGTGCTGTGGAACTGGAGTCCAAAGATCACAAGTCCAAAGGTACAACAGGTGCTTACCTCCCTTTCCATTTCCTCAGTTCTCACTAAAACCTTATCTTTGCCATAACTCTAAATGATGAACCAAACGTTAAATTCCTGTATTTCTAGATTGAATGCATTTATATATTATACACCAACCTTTTTAAGTCCATCCATCCTTTATCTGCTGCTTGTTCTGGAGTCTGGTCGTGGGGGCAGCAGCTTGAGCAGAGGTCCAGACATCCCTTTCCACTGACGGCTCTTCGGGGTCAGCCTAGAGACACAGTGTCCTGGATCTCCTCGTAGCTGAAATGTCTGGAACACCTCCCTGGAAAGTTGTCTGAACCACCATGACTGGAGGAGCTGCTGCTCCTCCACATCTCAATATGGAGGAACAGCAGCTCTACTCCAAGACAACTGAACTTCTCACCCTATCTCTAGAGGAGTTTCCAGATTCCTGTGGAGAAAGCCCATTTTGACCACCTCTATATTCGATCTCATTGTTTCGGTCATTACCCAAAGTTTGTCACCATAGGTGAAGGTAGGAACATACACCAGCCAGTAAATAGAGTGCTTCACCTTGCAGCTCTGCTCCCTCTTCACCCTAATGAACCGGCTCTAAATCCACAGTACTGCTAAAGCAGCACCAGTCCCACACCCTGTTCTTCCCTCATTTATGAACAAAGCCCTGAGATAATGAAATTCCTCCACTTGAGGTAGAACCTCATTCCCAACCCGTAGAGAGTAATCTATCCTTTTCCAGCTCTCTGCTCCACACAGAGGGCTGTGGCAGCTCGGTGGTCTGTGGTTATGTCAGGAAGGACATCTGGCGTAAAACCAATCAAGTCTTGGTGCAGGTTGGTTTGCTGTGGTGACCCCTGAAGAAGGGAGCAGCCTAAGAATAAAATAAAAACAACAGAGGGCATTCCATCCTTTTCTAACTGAGGGCCATGGCTTGGGCTTCAGTCCCAGCTGTTTCACACTCTGCTGTGAACCGCTCCAGTGAGAGCTGGAGATCATGGCACGATGATGCCAACAGGACCACATCATCCACATACAGAGTTCTTAGATCCCGGAGCTGGACCTCTTCTGTTCCCTGACTGCACAGAGAAAGTTCTGTCCATCAAAGTCATGAACAGAAGTTGTGACAATGGGCAGCTCTGGTGGAGTCCAACTCACCCTGATGGGGTCCAGCGTTGCAGCCGGCAACATGAACCGAAGACTCGCACTGTTTGTAGAAGAACTGAGTGACTGTAGCAACAGATTCTCAGTCCCATTCTCATGGAACGCCCCCACAGTGGACTTGGGGGAACATGGTTGAATGCCTTTTTCAAGTCCACTACAAAACACATACAGACCCTTTCCAAAAAATTAGAACATCATGGAAAAGTTGTTTAACTTCCATAATTCATTCAAAAAGTTAATCTTTAATAGATGATAGATTCAGGGCCCACAATTTAAATGATTTCAAGTATTTATTTATTTATTTTTACATAATTTGGGCTTCCAGCTCATGAAACCCACGAAAACAGGATTTCAGAACATTAGAACACTGTGAAGACATCAGTCCACACTTCTCAGTTTTTGTAGAGAAATAAATTAGGATCACAACAAATCAATCAAAATATGGTTCTTTCAAATCAATATGTCAATCTTCAACACTTGGTTGTGAATCTCTTTGTCTTAATTTCTGCCTCGATGCGACGTGACATTGACTGGGAGTTATGGAAGCCCAGATTTCCTTGATGCTGTCAGATCTTCTTTGTTGTCGGGTCTGGTGCTCCTCATGTTCCTCTTGAGAAGACCCCATAGATTCTCTCTGGGGTTTAGATCCGACCAGTTGGCTGGCCAGTCAGGCACTGTGGCATCAAACCAGGTGTTGGTGCTTCTGGCAGCATGGGCAGGGGCCAGGTCCTGCTGGAAGATTAAATCTGTATCTCCATACAGATCCTCAGCAGAAGGAATCATGAAGTCCTCTAAAACATTCTGGTAGACTGTTGCTGTGACCTTGGATTTAAGAAAGCAGAGTTTACAAACACCTGCACCGGACATTGCACCCAGATCATGACTGACTGTAGATATTTCACACTGGACCTCAACCAGTATGGGTTCTGTTCCTCACCCTTCTTCCTCAAAACTCTTGGACCTTGATTTCTGAATGAAAGACACTTTACTTTCATCTGAAAAGAGGACCGAGGAACCCGACAGTTGTAGTCCATCTCCTGGATGAGTCTGAATGTGGTGGTTTTTGAAGCTGTGACTCCGCCTCATTCCACTCTTTCTGGATCTCTGACAGATTCTGGATCTTCTCTGTTTGATAATCCACTGAAGCCCACGGTCATCTCTTTTGCTGGTGCATCTTCTCCTGCCACATGTTGTCCTTCCACTAGACTTTCCATTGATGTGCTTGGACACAGCGCTCTGTGAACAGCCAGCCTCCTTAGCTATGAACTTTGTGGCTTACCAATCCTATGGAGAACATCAATGATGGTCTTCTGGACAGATGTTCTGTCTGCAGTCTTCCCCATATTGAACCAAACTGAGACAATTGAACCAAACTGAATCAGTTTAATGACACCTGGAGAAACCTGTGCAGGTGCTTTGAGTTTAGTAGATGATTAGTGTCACACTCAGTTTAAAACATTCATGCCCTGCAACATTTGGACTGATGTCTCCACAGTTTTCTAATTGTTTGAAATCCTGTTTTCGTGGGTTTCATGAGCTGGAAGACCCAATTATGTAAAAATAAACAAATAAATACTTGAAATAGTTTAAATTGTGGGCCCTGAATCTATCATCTGTTAAAGATTAACTTTTTGAATGGAATCATGGAAGTTGAACAACTTTTCTACGATATTCTAATTTTTTGGAACGGGTCTGTATGGACTTGTTTGGCAAACCCACATGCCAATTCAAGGACACTAGTGAGGATAAAGAGCTGGTCTAGTGTTCCACAGCTGAAGCGTTCATTCTTATCATTCGTCTGTTTCTGTTCCAGCTGATGATGAAGGGGTGACCCCCATGAAGCGGCGGAGGGTGAACAGTGAGGACGACAAAGCCGGAGAGCCCCCCCTCTGCATGGCCTCCTCCTCCACAGCTCTCCCCGAGTGCAGCGAGCTGAAACCCGACCACCAGGAGGCGCTAACGCCCACCAGTACCTCGGATACAGAAACGCGGGACTCCTCCTCCCTGATAGACCCGGGCACAGAACAGGACCCGCCTACTCCAGACCCCACCCCCACCACCTCTGAAAACTTGGACTCCTCCCTGAAGGAGGAGAAGATGGAGGCCTCTTCCTCATCGTCATCCTCCTTTTCTTCCTCCTCCTCCTCCTCCCTGATGCAGGATGCAGGGGAGGGGTATGCGCAGGGGGAAGAGCCTGAGCCACAGCAGCACGGGGGCGGCACCGTGAAGCAGGTGGAGGTGCAGCTGGAGGGGAGCAGGGCTGACGTGACGTCTGCCCCCTCAGAGGAGCTGAAGGAGGAGAAGGAGGTGGGGTCTAAAACCAGGAGCAGCTCCACTCCGCCCCTCTCAGAGGACACTACCTTCCCATCATCTCTCGGGTTAGTGGGGGAGGGGCCAGATGGCTGTGGGAGTCATGCCTCCCCCTCCCAGGTGGCCCCACCTGATGTGCTGGACATGCTGTACATGACTGTGGAAGCCACCATTGCCATAGTAACCAAACTGTACGTTAAAGTCCCACCCTCCTCGTGATATCTTCGACCTAAAGCCGCCATGAGATCTGTAAGAACTTTGTTCTTCGTTCTGCTGGGAGGACCCAGACGTTCTGCTGGTTCTGGGTTCCTCTCGTGTTTCTGTGCTGCTCCGTTGCCTTCTGCCGACGTCTTGTCCGTCGCTTCCTGCAGCTTCTTGCTCCTCGACGTGTTGTCGCGCAGCTCAGACTGATGCCACACAAAGCCAACGCGTCAAGACAGAAGTCAGAAGTTGTTCAAGCGCCAGCACGTTTTTTTCAAAGGGCGAGAAATGTTTTTGTTTTTGTGTGCGTGTTTTATACCGAATTGTTTTTTTTAGTTTTCTTTTAGGTTTGCTGTAACGGGGAAAGGTTTACACAACTTTTGTCTCCTATATGTAATTTAATTTTATTGCATTTTTACTGTGTATAAAAATGGTCGTCCTCTGTGTCAGTTTTGTACTTTATGAACGAGGCAAAAAAAAAAAGTTGCCTTGACTTTTTCTGTGGTTTAAATTATCCAGAAAGTAAGTTTACCTGTAAATTAAGAGAACCACAAAAAACCTGATTCTGTAAAGAATCCTCTAGTTATTGCCTGAAGGTGTATATGAAAAAAAACTATAAAATATATATAAATAACTTTATATATCTATAAATATGAAAATATAAATATATAAAGTGGTGCTTTATTTGAATGTGGTTGAAATAAAGCCCCCCCCCCCCCATGTTGGACCAGCTGGAGCTTTTATTTTCTTTACTGAAGTACATTCCTCAATCTATTGTTTATTTTTTGCTTCTGCTGTGTTCTCATTTTGTTTTAATAGAGAATAAATTAATAAAAACGATTTTAATAAGAAGTATGATCTTAAATCTGGAAGACTGGTTTGTTTTCTCTAAAAGCAACAAGCTGTTCTGTTCTGACGTGCGTCTGAAAACCTGCTCAGGTGTTCGTTTCTTTTCTTGGAAAAATGACAAAAGTTGAAGTTTTCCATGTAACACCAGAAACTGTGATGGTCGCCGTGCAGCTGCTGACAGCTGTTTCCATCAGGAGCTGAGCGCTGAGGCCCCCTGGTGCCATCTGGTATACCAAAGGAAGGACATGACCCTCTGGAGACTTTAGTGTTTTCCACTTTGAAAAGGTTTAGGAGCAGAGTTCAGGCATCCCTTTTAATACACGTTTAATTTAATTTAAAAAAATTTACTACTTGTACATCACCTTCTATTTTATGCAGATAATCAAAAGCTCTTCACAACAGTCTGTCCTCGTTTACCCATCCACACAGCACTTTATTATATATTTACAGGGACTAATCGGAGCTTTATCACATCCATACACTGAAGGACGCACATCTGGGACAATGAGGGGTTCAGTGTCTTGCCCAGGGACACTTCAGCATGTGACTGCTGGTGGAATCGAACCCCCAACTCGTCCATTGGAGAACAACTGCTCGAACCACTCAACCACAGCTGCCCCAACAATACAAACTAATATTTTAGCTGTTGTAGATGGTTGTTTGAAGGGCCTTAATTTAAAGAATGTTGAAGTGGGTGGTGCGGTCACTTTTGCAGCTGTTCTTTCAGAATGATCGTAGAGAAATAACGAAGGAAAAAAGTTACAGAACAGTCGAGTTAGTTGCTAGATTTGTAGCACTTTACTAAACAATAAAAATCTGCTTCCAAAATGTCATGTGGCTTGACAGAACACATTAAATAAAAAAATTACACTTTTACGTGAACAGGTTTTAATTTGTTTTAGCTTGTTGCTGTTTTCTCAGCTGGATGACGTGTGTAACTTCATGGATGGATGAGTCCTGAGGGATGTCGGTCTGCCAGGAGTTCAGTTCAAATATGGGCCGTGGACAGTGCCTTGCTAAAGTATTCGGCCCCCTTGAACTTTTCAACCTTTTGCCACATTTCAGGCTTCAAACATAAAAACATAAAATTTTAATTTTTTTGTGAAGAATCAACAACAAGTGGGACACAATCGTGAAGTGGGATGAAATTTATTGGATGTGTCAAACTTTTTTAACAAATAAAAAACTGAAAAGTGGGGCGTGCAATATTATTGAGTCCCTTGCATTAATACTTTGTAGCTCCGCCTCTTGCTGCAGTTCCAGCTGCAAGTCTCTTGGGGTTTGTCTCCATCAGGTTTGAACATGGAGACACTGAAGTTCTGCCCATTCTTCCTGCAGAACAGCTGGAGCTCAGTGAGGTTGGATGGAGAGCGTTTGTGAACAGCAGTCTTCAGCTCTTTCCACAGATTCTGGATTGGATTCAGGTCTGGACTTTGACTTGGCCATTCCAACACCTGGATACGTTTATTTGTGAACCATTCCATTGTAGATGTGTCTTTATGTTTTGGATCATTGTCTTGTTGGAAGATAAATCTCCGTCCCAGTCTCAGGTCTCTTGCAGACTCAAACAGGTTTTCTTCCAGAATGGTCCTGTATTTGGCCCCATCCATCTTCCATCAATTCTGACCATCTTCCCTGTCTCTGCTGACGAAAAGCAGGCCCAAACCATGATGCTGCCACCACCATGTTTGACAGTGGGGATGGTGTGTTCAGGGTGATGAGCTGTGTTGCTTTTACTCCAAACGTATCTTTTTGCATTGTGGCCAAACAGTTGGATTTTGGTTTCATGTGACCAGAGCACCTTCTTCCACATGTTTGGTGTCTCCCAGGTGACAAACTTTAAACAACACTTTTTATGGATATCTTTGAGAAATGTCTTTCTTCTTGCCACTCTTCCATAAAGGCCAGATTTGTGCAGTGTACGACTGATTGTTGTCCTATGGACAGACTCTCCCACCTCAGCTGTAGATCTCTGCAGTTCATCCAGATGATCATGGGCCTCTTGGCTGCATCTCTGATCAGTCTTCTCCTTGTTCCAGATGAAAGTTTAGAGGGACGGCCGGGTCTTGGTAGATTTGCAGTGGTCTCATACTCCTTCCATTTCAATATGATTGCTTGCACAGTGCTCCTTGGGATGTTTAAAGCTTGGGAAATCTTTTTGTATCCAAATCCTGCTTTAAACTTCTCCACAACAGTATCTAGGACCTGCCTGGTGTGTTCCTTGGTCTTCATGATGCTCTCTGCTCTTGGAACAGAACAATGAGACTATCACAGAGCAGGTGCATTTATACAGAGACTTGATTACACACAGGGGGATTCTATTTATCATCATCAGTCATTTGGGACAACATTGGATCATTCATAGATCCTCACTGAACTTCTGGACTGAGTTTGCTGCTCTGAAAGTAAAGAGGCCCAATAATATTGCACGCCCCACTTTTCAGTTTTTTATTTGTTAAAAAAGTTTGACACATCCAATAAATTTCATTCCACTTCACGATTGTGTCTCACTTGTTGTTGATTCTTCACAAAAAATTAAAATTTTATATCTTTATGTTTGAAGCCTGAAATGTGCCAAAAGGTTGAAAAGTTCAAGGGGGCCGAATACTTTCGCAAGACACTGTACATGTACACACAAGTACACCGGAGTCAAACTCCCATGACCCCTTTATCAACCCTGCCACGATGAAGACTGTGCACTATTACTCAACCTGGACAAAACACCCTGCTCCTGATCCTAAGGTTCAACAATCAGACTGAGCTTCCTGTGCAATATGAACAAATGCCTTTTTTTCTCACTATACTAAAGTACAATAAAATTAAAATGAACTCTTCTCCCATTGCAAACACAAGTAAAAATAAAAGTATGCTAAAAACTGGTGGTATTTCATACACTGCAGATATCACTCATTTATGGCATTGTACGAAACTGTCAATAAATTAAATAATTTCATATTTAACCTTCTAAGACCCAAACTCTTACACATGTGGATGCCAGGTCCTAGGAGGTTAATTAAACATGTTAAACCATGAAGCCCCCCAGGGGAAATTGGGGATGTTTTTCTTTTGCATTGGCCCATAAAAGTTGTTCATTACCTCGAGAAAGCTGTAAAGTGTGCACTCATAAAAAACTGTCCAATTCATTTTATTTAGATTTGTAGTGCCAAATCACAACTGTTTGCACTGAACAGAAACATTCACAAACATATAAAGTCTGTTAATGATGTTATTTATCTAAAGAGCCAACAGATTGCTTTGAGTTTTCACTTCAAACCTCCAGCAGAACCAGGCTCAGGACAAGTGGCCATCTGCTTTGACCAGCTGGATTTAAGAGGGCAAGAAGGAGAAAACCAAAACAATGCATGGAGGCCATCAAGTTTTGTCTAGGGAGAAAGACAAAAACACAGAAATCACATGTTAGGAAAGAATAATTACAAAGATAAACTATTCTATGTGTACAATAATATGTGTGTAGTGTAAACTATAGTATGCATTTGTAACTGTTCATTTGATGAAATTAGATCAGTTTGTTCTCCTAAATAGGTAATAGCAACATGGGATAAGGAATAGCCCAGAAAACCAAGCCAACTGTAGGATTTATCAAAGTCTTCATCCATCCATCCATCTTCTCCTACTTATCCGGGGTCATGTCGCGGGGGTAGCAGCTTAAATAGGGAGGCCCAGACTTCCCTCTCCCCAGCCACTTGGTCCAGCTCCTCCGGGGGAATCCCAAGGCATTCTCAGGCCAGCCGAGAAACATAGTCCCTCCAGTGTGTCCTGGCTCTTCCTCTGGGTCTCCTCCCAGTGGGACATGTCTGGAACACCTCACCAGGGAGGCGTCCAGGAGGCATCATAACCAAATGCCCGAGCCACCTCAACTGGCTCCTCTCGACGTGGAGAAGCAGCGGCTCTACTCTGAGTCCTTCCCGGATGATCGAGCTTCTCACCCTTTCTCTAAGGGAGAGCCCAGACACCCTGCGGAGAAAACTCATTTCAGTCGCTTTTATCTGAGATTTCTTTCTTTCTGTCACAACCCAAAGCTCACGACCACAGATGAGGGTAGGAACGTAGATCGATCGGTAAATTAAGAGCTTTGCCTTTTGACTCAGCTCTCTCTTCACCACGACAGACCTGTACAGCGCCCGCTTCACTGCCGACGCTGCACCTATCCGCCTATCGATCTCACGCTC